AGAGGGTGCCCTTGATGGCAACCCCTTCTCTGGGCATCAAATCTCTACAGAATTAGGCTCATTCTCTCCCTCTGGAGCCAGACAAGGTACTCCTCTGCTACATATATGTTGGGGACTTCCAATGAGCCAGTTTATTCTCTTTGGTTGATAGCTTAGTCTCTGGGAGCTCCCTGGGTTCCTAGTTAATTGACACTGTTGGCATTCCTATGGAGATGTCACCACATTCTTCTCCTTCAAGCCTTCCCCCAACTCTTCCATACAGTTCCCAAACCTCAGTCCAATGATTTGGCTGAAGTATTTGCCTCTGTCTCAGACAGCTGCTGGTAGAGACTCTCAGAGGAGAGCCATTTAGGCTCCTGTCTCCAAGCACAACATAGCATCAGTAATAGTGTCAAGGTTTGATACTTACTCATTTGATGTATCCCAACTTGAGCCGGACACTAGGCAACGTTTCGTTCAGTCTCTGCTCCATTTTTGTCCCTGGATTTCTCTTGGACATCAAACATTCCAGGTCAAAATTTTTGGAAGTGAGTTGTTGACCATATCCTTCCACTATGGGTCCTGTCTATCTATTGAAGGTGGTCCCTTCAGGCTCCATATCCCCACTCATCATTTTAGATAAGGCCAGCCCCATTGAGTCCTGTGATCTGAAATCCAAGGTCACTGGGACTTTTTCGAGGTTCTCTCCAAACCCCTACCATCCATCCCTAGATGCTGCATATTTCCATGCATTCTCCAAGCCCACTGGCCTTTTTTTTCTTCTCTCTCCCCTATCCCCTATACCTTTTCTCCTCTCCCTCCACTTTCCAGCCCAGGTCCCTCCCTCTGTCTCCTGTGATTATTTTCTTTCCCCTTTTAAGTGAAATTAAAGTGTCTTCACTTGGGCCTTCCATGCTAAACTTCTTTTAGTCTGTAGGTTATATCATGGATATCTTGTATATTTTAGCTAATATCCACTTATCAGTTAGTACATACCATGCATATCCTTTTGGTTCTGGGTTACATCACTCAGGATAATATTTTCTAGTTCAATCAACTTGACTGCAAAATTCATGATGTGTTTGTTTTTAATAGCAAATAGTATTCCATCATGTGAATGAATCACATTTTTGGTATCCACTCTTTGGATGAAGGACAGCAGGGTTGCTTCCAGTTTCTAGCTATTATGAATAAGGTTGCTATTATTTGTTGCCATTTAATACATATGTGTATCATTACTTTTTATTCTCGAGATTCCAGGTATGCTGTTGGGTTCTTTATATGAGACTTCCTCAATTAATTTTTACATAGGCTCCAAGACCTATGAATGTTTCTCTGTGTATCAGATTTGTGTCTGTATATTCAGTATGTCTGTATCGTTAAACTAAGATCAATGGTATTGAGAAAAATCAATGACGAATGACTGTTGAAATTTTGATTGCAGTGTTGTGACTGCTGGTGTTGGTGGTAGCAGTGGTAGTAATGGAGTAATGGGTGTTTCCTTTCTATTAATTTTAATGTGAGAGTATTCTATTTCCTGGGTTTTTGTCAATGTAGTTAACCTCAATAAATTTGAGCCTTTCTACACATTTTATAGCGCTACATTTGTAGATGTGTATTATTTAAACTTGATGTCAATGTGAGTATTTCTTTTCATCTATGTTGACTGAAAATTTAGCTGGGTAGACTCATCTTTGTTGGCATCTTAGAGACTGCAGTAAGCCTGTCCCGGCTCTTCTGGACTTGGAGTATCTAGTGAGGTGTCAGTTGAAATTACATTATGTCTGCTTTATATGCTACTTCATCTTATCCACTTGCTTCTTTTAATATTCTTCCTTTGTTATATGTGTTTTATATTTTTTATTATTATGTGGTACTGGGATCTTTCTTTTCTGCTCTAATACACTTGGTGTTCATTCTTCTCCTCGGACCTCTCTATAGGTTTCTCCTACTTTAGATCAGAGAAACAAACTAGATTATTCTGTTGGGAACATATTATGGACTCTAAGATGGGTTCTTCTCCTTCCTCTATACCAGTTATTCTTAGATTTGGCCTTTTTAAAGTGTTCCAGATGTACTCTTCGTTTGTTTAAGAAGATTTTGGTTTCAACATTTTCTTTGACTGAGGGCTGTATTTCTTGAAAATATCTCTAATTCTCTCAGTTTTGTTTTCTTTGTTGATTTAGTTTGATTTTCAGGTCCTGTACAGTTTTATTTATTTACTTTAACTGTTTGGTCTTTCTCGGTTTTCTTTAGGAGATTTATTCATTTCCTCCAAGTTTTGTGTGTTTTCCTGGATTGATGGGATTTATTTACATTCTCTAAGGACATCTATCATTTACACATTCTGTGTTATAGCCTTTTGTTTTTGCTTCAGGTTTGTGGAATATTTAGAGTCATATGTGATAGGAGATCTCTGTTCTAGTGTTGATATATTGCCTTAACTCTTATTGATTGTGTTGTTATGCCATCACATAGGTGTCTAGAATTGGGATAATTATAGGTCTCAGAGCTGATTTTTTAATATTTGTATTTGTTAGATGAGTGTTTTGTTCCTTAGGCTATGTTACCTCTCTGGATATATAAATAGTGTAATAGTGGTTTTACTTGCTGACTCAGATTGTGTGTTCACAGAGAAGTACTTCTGGTATTAGAAGGAGTTGGCAGAAAGAAAAGTGGAGGAGGTTCTTGTGATCTGTAAGTGATGGGTTCCAAAAGGAAATGGTGATAAAAAATATTCTGCTACAGAGTTGTAAATGAAACTAAGGGGATTGGCTTTCTGGGGCAGTAGATGAACTGTAGGTCTGTTTTAGCCTGCATTTTGCAGAGGTTTTACATTGAAATTGGTGTATGAGTAAAAGCAACAAGTGGGGAGGGGCAGCTAGTGGTCAAGATCTATGGAATCCATAGGAGATGGGAGCACAAGGGCACAGAAGGCTGCAGAGCTGGGAATGGTTTGTGTGTGTGTTGGGGGTTTGTGTAAGACAACCAAGAAAGGTGAAGGTGCATGGGGAGCTTACATGGTTTTCTGGAGGATATGGATGGCCTATAGCTTATCAGGGCATGTTTGTTGGATTTGCAAGCTTGTATACATTAATGAGTGGCAGAGGTAGAATAGAAGAGGATAATCTGTGATATCCCCTTCTAAAGATATGGGAGGAAGGGAGGCTTCAGCAGGTTTTTTGTCACATCACTAAAGATGACATTGAGGGATAAAGTCTGGGGAAACAGAATGAAGTGAAGGTCTGCACCTAATGTACCTCATTTTGGGGGGTTGGCCATATATTCCATGCTGTTTACCTTTTGTCAATGTTACTCTTTTACAACTGCCCACATGTACTCAGTACACTCCCTTTCTACTAGCACTTGTCAATTTATTCCATCCTTAGTCATCCCTTTACCTGTTTCATGATATTTTTCATATAGGTACATTAACTGATTGGTTTAAATCATGGTCATCTTTCTGACTCTTCTGTTTCGACTGTGCCTGGGAAACTAGTGCAGTCATTAATTATTACAAAAGTAAAATAATTAACTTCTTTTTTTGACTATTTTTGAAGGAGATAGTTTAACAAAGAAGGGTAAGATGATTTCCTCATTTTTCTACAAGCCATACATATGCAGAACCAATCAAGAAACTTATCCTTAATTGTTGTGAGTTCCTTAAAGCAATGCATGTATTGCCTGGAAGGAGACAACTCGAGTCCCCATCTTTTTTTTTTTTTTTTTTTTTTTTTTTTTTTTCTTTTTTTTTTTTAAAGATTTATTTATTTATTATATATGAATACACTGTAGCTGTCTTCAGACACACCAGAAGAGGGCATCAGATCTCATTACAGATGGCTGCGAGCCACCATGTGGTTGCTGGGATTTGAACTCAGGACCTCTGGAAGAGCAGTCAGTGCTCTTAACCACTGAGCCATCTCTCCAGCCCCCTCGAGTCCCCATCTTATAACCAGGATACCTTTAATTTGTAACACCTTAGAAGGGATAGTTATAAAGTGCTTGTTTAAAGATAGGGATTAAAGCATCACTTACTTCATGATCATCCACACTCCTGTGTCTTGTCCTTCACCTCAGGTCACTGTCAAGATTGGCCTCATGGTGTAAGGATCAGGGTGTCACTTGTACAATAAAAAAGCAACAGCAAAATGCTCATGATGAGGGCAAAGGGACAAGTTGTGAATGTGTAAATCCCTTGAGAAAAAATGAGTAGAGTTCCATGGTCATTAAAGAAAAACCATACAGGGTATCAAAGGAGAATTTTGATTCTTCTGAAAATAAACTCAATAAATGTTAACTTAAAATATAAAATGGAGACAACAATCCCTTGATGAGGTGATAGTTATCAGAAATACACAAAGGTTTAATGTAATAGAAATATCACAATATAAACTGAGGAGCATGCTTTTTCATTCAAGGTAAAACTCACAAATGTTTAGGAGCAGAGTATTCAAAACCTGTTTTTAAATACTTAGTAACAGTTCTGTCCCTCTTTGTTGACAAATGCCATAACTAAGTGTAACAACATAATGCTAGTGAAGGATTTAAGCTTCAAGACTGTAATGGCATTTATTAGTTTGAAATAATTTAGAATGTTAATAAAATTGGAGTACCCAGGGGATTTATAAAAATGAATATATATGAGTCCCAAATGAGAGAACACCATTTAAGAAATGAATTTCAAACTGTAATGTCAGTGTTGTACAAAATGTATATCCAGAATTAAGCATATTTCATAGATGATGTCAGAATCAAATTACAATTATACAATATTATTCTGAATAGATCCATATATTGACAAATTGAGGAAAAGCATACAAAGACAGAGAAAAGGCATTGAACTTTTGGAATTTTTGTCACCATAGGCAAAAAACACTGCATAGATTTGAAATGATTCACAGAGTCTTTAAAAATATCTTTCTGAAATAATAAAGGAAGGTGACTCAGGAAGCACTTCAATGAGCTGAGGATAATTAATATATGAGGAAGAAGGTAACACATGAGGATTGATTCAGTCACTTTCCTTTCTGAACAGATATGGACCAGTGTGTGAAATGTCCAGAAAGTCACTATGCCAACTCAGAGAAGAACCACTGCCTCCGGAAATCTGTGAGCTTTTTGGCCTATGAAGAACCCTTGGGGATGACACTCACCATCACAGCACTGGCCTTCTCTCTACTCACAGCTGTGGTTCTTGTAGTCTTTGTGAAGCACAGAGACACACCCATTGTCAAGGCCAATAACCGGGCTCTCAGCTACACCCTGCTATTGACCCTCTTCATCTGTTTCCTCAGTTCCTTGCTCTTCATTGGCAAGCCCAACACAGCCACCTGCATCTTGCAGCAGACAGCATTTGGAATTTTGTTCACTGTGGCTCTCTCCACAGTGTTGGCCAAAGCTATTACAGTGGTTATTGCATTCAAAGCCACTGTTCCAGCTAGAATGGTGAGGTGGTTAATAGTATCAAGAGCCCCTAATTTCATCATTCCCATCTGCACACTGATCCAACTTATTATCTGTGGAATCTGGCTGGTTACCTCTCCACCCTTCACTGATCAAGATACTCACACTGAACATGGTCACATCATCATTGTGTGCAACATGGGTTCAACAGTTGCCTTCCACACTGTCCTGGGGTACCTCTGCTCCTTAGCACTTGGGAGCTACACCATGGCCTTCTTGTCCAGGAATCTGCCTGACACATTCAACGAAGCCAAGTTCCTGTCATTCAGCATGCAGGTATTCTTCTGTGTTTGGATCACTTTCCTCCCTGTCTACCACAGCACAAAGGGGAAGGTCATGGTGGCTATGGAAGTGTTCTCCATCTTGGCTTCCAGTATAGCCCTCCTTGGATTGATTTTTGCCCCCAAGTGCTACATTATTTTGTTAAGGCCAGAAAAAAACTCCTGTCATAGTATCAGGCACAGAAAACATTCAAGAAGGAATATCCATTTAGATTTAGTTAAAAATTAAAATTTATCTATGTTCATTAATTAAATGTTATGGTTTAACCAGTGCCACAGCATGCTAAGTGTCTTCAGGTGTAATATGATATGATTGTGTATGGCCATATTCTCTACATCTAATTGTATTCAACTCTCTTTATACTGAAGCCATCAGTTTTATTTTATGTTTTGGATTCCTTATATGTTTTTTGTAACATAGTTTCACTATGTGCCCTTGTTGGCCTACAGTCTCATAATTATATCAGTGTAGCATAAACTGATGGACACAAAGTGCTTTTCTCTGCATATAAAGTCCTGCTGTGGAAGATGTGAAACCATGTCAGCCCTGTTGGATTCATTTTGTACTTTCTTTTAAAAAATTCATGGATCGATTCATTTGATTTCTGACTCCAGAATATTCTATTATATTTACTCTGTAAACTGAACATTGTTAGCGCAAAGTGTCTCTAGATTCAGTCTAAAAAGTTCTTACTTCCAGTGATCAGAAAAAAAAATACCATGGTTTCGAATAACAGTAGAAGTTCCTTCTATTTTAATGAGTGAAACAAGAGGAAAAAGGAAGCCTCTTACTCTGGAGAACTACAAAAGATCCCTGCATTGTAACTAGTGTTTGTTTATAAACTTAGAGCTCAGGAACAGGGTGGGACTGATTGGGTGTTTCATAGGCTTTCATGTGCATACCATATTGGAGAGAGTCATGCAGGTTCAACTCGGATAACAAGAACATTGTGCAATGTGGAGTTATAAAATTATACAGCAAAATATGGATGTTATATACTTCATTGGAAAAAGTAAAACTCTTTTTTAATTGGTTATTTTATTTATTTACATAGCACATACTGTCCCCCTTCCCACATTCCCCTCCACAAATCCCTCCACCTGCTTCTATAAGCATATTCCTGTACCCTCCCACCCACTCAGGCCTCAAGTCTATAGCATTCCTCTGAATGGGGCATCGAGCTTGCACAGGACCAAGGGCTTCCCATCCTGTTGATGCCAGAAAAGGCATTCCTCTGCTACATATGCACCTGGAGCCATGGGTCCCTTCCTGTGCACTTTTTGTTTGGTGGTTTAGTCCCTGGGAGCTCTGAGAGGTCTGGCTGGTTGATATTGTTCTTCTTCCTATGGGGTAGCAATACCCTTCAGACACACCAGAAGAGGGCATCGGATCCCATTACAGATGGTTGTGAGCCACCATGTGGTTGCTGGGAATTGAACTCAGGACCTTTGGAAGAGCAGTCAGTGCTCTTAACTGCTGAGCCATCTCTTCGGCCCCCTGAAGTCCTCTTTCTTTCTTTCTCTCTTTCTTTCTTTCTTTCTTTTTTCTTTTTTTTTTTGTCTTTGTGTGGTTTTGATATCAGAGTAATTGTGGCTTCATTGAATGAATTAGTTTTCCTTCCGTTTCTATTTCGTGGAATAATTTGAGGAGTGTTGGTATTAGTTCTTTGAAAGTCTGGTAGAACTGGGCTTTTTTTTTTTTTTTCTTCTGGTTGGGAAATTTTTACTGATATCTTCTATTTCCATAGGGGATATGAGCCTGTTTAGACAATTCACCTGCTCTTGATTTAACTTTGGTACATGGTATCTGTCTAGAAAATCATCTATTTCATCTAGATTTTCCAGTTTTGTTGAGTATAGGCTTTTGTAGTAGGATCTGATGGGTTGTTTTTTTTTTTAATTTCCTCAGTTTCTGTTGTTATGTTTCCCTTTTCAGTTCTGATTTTGTTAATTTGGATACTGTCTCTTTGTCCTTTAGTTTGTTTTGCTAGGAGTTTATCTATCTTGTTGATTTTCTCAAAGAACCAGTTTTTTATTTTGATTCTTTGTATTATTCTTTGTTTCTATTTGGTTGATTTCAGCCCTGAGTGGTGGGAGGACTGGGTTCTAATGGTGCAAAAGTATATTGGCTTCTATTACTTACCGTCCTTCACTTGCCTCTTGCCATCTAGTTATCTCTGCTATTTATTGCCCTGGGTGTTTCTGTCTGGATCCTGCTTCCTGTGTCCCTGGGTTACTGCAGGCCTCCTGGGAGACCTGTGGCCCTGTCTGTAGCAGATCTCTTGTGAGGTCTTCAGACTGTGGGGTCTTCAAAGAGATAGACACCATGATGATGTACCCTGTTGCCCTGGCTGCAACAGGTCTTCTGGGAAGCCTTCAGACTGTGGGGTTTTCAGAGGGGCAGACCAGCTGATGATCTGCACCGAGGAAGGTGCAAGCCCACCCCTTGATTTTTTTAAAATAATCTTTAATTGTTTTATGAAATAAGGAACATAAACTTGCATCTGAGAAAAAGGTTGCTTAAGAGAATCTAGAAGGAAAAATATGTTAAAATATACAATAATAAAATTCTTAATAAATAAAAGTGTTGAAGAACAAATCCATTTAGTATTGGTATAAAACAGACAAATACAAACTTTTAGTTTAACACATAATAACTAATAACCTACACACAAATTGTCAGACTACTACTCCAATGTGTCAATTTAATACTATTCAGATAAAATAAGGCAAAAATCTTTTACCCCATAGAGTACTTCAGCACCTCCTGATTATATGATTCTAAGAGGAAGGATCTCTCTAAGCTAGCACAGAGATCGGTTACCTCACCACGTCCTAGATTCTTTTGCTTTAGACTGATTACATTAAACATCGATTCAGTCCCACTGACCTGCTTCAGGGCCCTCTGCTTCCTCCATGTCCACAATCCAATTGCTTGTTTTACTCAAGACAGATGACTAACTCTGGTTTCAATACAGAAAAGTCTCTGCATTAGAAGAAACCTCAGATTCTTTGCATTATATTGAATGTTGTTGTCTTTTTAACATAGAATTGTACCCAGTGGACAACAGGAACAGAAAATACATTAATGATTTCCTAATTATCATTTCTTGTCAGGTGTTTTAGACCTCAGAAACCAATACTTTTAAACTTCTTTGTTCATTTAGTTGTCTTTAAATTACTTTGTGACAAAAAAAAAAATATGCAACTATGGGAATTAAACTGGATTAGTATATTACTGCTACTGAATACCTGCAAAAGTAATATCTGGGGCTAGGATGGTATTCAGTACTGGTCTAAACAACAGGACAATATATCGTGATATAAAATATTTGCTATATATAAAATACCACTATATAGGAAAAACTGGGAGCTGTGAATAATAGACACAAGCCTGTTGCAAATATAATACCAACTGAAAAACATTCCTAGGATGCAGTGGGAATCATGATGGGACTTATTCTCACCCACAGAGGTCAGTTTGCTGGAGTTCTCCAACATGGCATTCTGTACAAAGCCCTCTGAGCAGAGTCCAGGAATTGCTACTTCTCTTGGGGGAGGTCTATGTCCACATCTTTGAAAGGTGACTGACCCTGACATGAAAATTAAATTTCCAATTGTGGATGTTACATGACTCATTTACTGTGTTAAGGGAATGTTTGTTAACTAGAGATCTTGTTCTACTATCAGTAATCTACGTTAACTATTTGAAAACTTATGTTGTGTGAGAAAAGATAACATTCCAAGAGAATCTCAGAGAAAAACTTTATTGAGCATGGACATTCCTTCAGTTATTTATAGTGATTTGTATAAACTTAAGACCTCTTTGTCTTTTCCCTGTCCACTGGTGTCCTCATTTGGCTCATGCTTGGTGAACATGTCATTGACACTTTATGGATATAGTTTTTGATGTTTATTAGAAAACATGATGTCACTACAAACTCCCTGATCCTCTGGCTCTTATTCTCTTTCTGTTCCCTCTTTTGAAATGGTCTCTAAGCCTTTGATATGCGAGTGTATGATACATGTATCATTGGTACTTAGTTTCACAGCTCTGCATGCTGACTGGTTGTGCTTTTCTGTAGTGGTCTCTATGTGTTGCAAACAGTAGTTTTTTTGATGAGGGGTGAAGACTATACTTATTTGTAGGTATAAAGACAAATATTGCCGGGCGGTGGTGGCGCACGCCTTTAATCCCAGCACTTGGGAGGCAGAGGCAGGCGGATTTCTGAGTTCGAGGCCAGCCTGGTCTACAGAGTGAGTTCCAGGACAGCCAGGGCTACACAGAGAAACCCTGTCTCGAAAAAAAAAAAAAAAAAGACAAATATTTATACATGTTTGCAGGGATGTTTCTGGTTCAATAAACTAATGCTTGTAGTTTCCTTCAATAACCATCACTTTACTACCTCTGAGTAGTTAGCTAGGTTTTTAGTATGAGGCATGTTTCCCCTCTGGTTGAGGAGGTCTTAAGTCTAATTAGAGCTGGTGTTTACCTTTAAGGTATGTGTGTCTTCTGTAATGGGTATATCCCTTCCACTTCTGTTCACAAGCTGTCTCATTTAGAGTTTATGTTTCAAACTAACTTCAAGAGCATCTTATAAGACTCAACAAATGTAGTGCTTACCAATGCCCAGACCCAAGGAGGACGTTCTCTCAACAACTCTGCTTCCTTGCTGATTCTTAGGAGGGCCTCCTGAAACTAACACCAGTTCTCTTCCTTACTGCTATGTTACCTTCCTTCCTCCTCCTTCTGTATTTATTTCCTCCAGGAATCTTGTTTCCAATTCCACTCTCAGATCCCTGGTTTTGTGACATCCACTTTTACCTTCCACATTCTTTGTTCCACATCCATAAAAAGCCCACAATTCCCCACTGCAATTTTACGAGATGGTTTTGTTAAAATTATCACCCACGGAATGGCTAACATTAATGATACCTTTACAGTATAAAATAGACATTCGTTATCCCAAGACAGCAGTAAATGAATATAACTCCAACGTATTTACTAGTAGTTGAGAGCGAGAAAGTAACTTAACACTATAAACAATCTGTAACATACACCTAAAGCTCAAATAGTATCAATAGTAATCTTTGCATCATACAAATAAAAATATTCTGTTCCACTGAAATATATAAATATTATGCAAGTTCTGACTTTAGATGGTTATGAGAAATCTTACTCAAGTCCTTATGTTTTAAATTGTTACCAGTTTAGACAAATGTAACATGAATTCTATACCATTATTAGTAATTGATTTCAGAATAATTCTGTATGAAACAGTACATATGTAATTCATCTTCAAAGAAATTGCTTAGTGAATATATTAGTTAGGGTTTCTTTTGCTGTAGAGAGTCATCATAACTACAGTAACTTCTATAAAGAAAAATATTTTATTTTGGCTGACTTAGAGATTCAGAGGTTTTTTAATTGTCTTCATGGAGGGAAGCATAGTGGCATGCAGGTAGACATGGTGCTGGAGAGGGAGTTGAGAGTTCTACGTTTGGATCAGCAGGCAGCAGGAAGAGAGAGTGACAATGGGCCTCGTTTGAGCATCTGAAACCTCAAGGCCCAACCCAGGGACATATTTCTTCCAACAAAACCTCACCTACTCCAACAAGGCCACACCATCTAATAATGTCACTCCTTATATGTCTGAGCATGCTATTTTCAGTCAAACCACCAGAGTAAATATAAGATGCATTTTGGGGTGTCTTAGAGTTTCCATTGCTGTGAAGAGATTCCATGATCAAGGTAACTCTTATGAAGGACAACATTTAATTAAAGCTGGCTTAAAGGTTCCGAGGGTTCCGACCGTAACCATCAAGGGAGAAAGCATGGCAGCATCCAGGCAGGCATGGCACAGAAGAAGCTGAGAGTTCTACATCTTGTTCAGAAAGGAAGAAAGTAGAAAACTGGCTATGTGACTAGTAGGAGGGTCTCAAATCCCACTCCCACAGTGACATACTTCCTCCAGCAAAGCCACACCTACTGGAACAAGGCCACATGTAATAGTGGTACTCCCTCAGCCAAGCATATTGAAATCCCCACACTGGGTAAAATGTTTTCAAATTCATACCAGTATAAGGCTAACTGGTGTGACTCTAATATTGAAAAGTTGAACAGTGAGTGGTTAAAGGTTTCCATCCATTCTTCACATTCAAAAATATATACTTCTTGGGTGAACAGTGTGTCAGTAATTACCCTTGATTTTATAATATGTTCTAAATTTACAGCCTGTGGTAATGGATTTCAAACATTCTTTACATTTGTAAAGTTTGTTTCCAGTATGGATTTCAGGATGATCTATAAGATTTGAGAACCAGGTAATGGATTTTGAATATTCTTTACATCTGTAAAGATTCTCTCATGAATGGATTCTGCGATGTTTTTGGAGAGATGAGCCCTCAGCAAAAGACTTGCCACATTCTTTGCATTTGTAAGGTTTCTCTCCTGTATGGATTCTGCAGTGGCTTTGAAGATGTGAGCTCTGGGTAAAGGACTTGCCACAATCTGTGCATTTGTAAGGTTTCTCTCCAGTGTGGATTCTGTGATGAATTTGAAGACCTGAGGCCATGGTAAAAGACTTGCCACATTCTTTACATTTGTAAGGTTTCTCTCCAGTGTGGATTCTGTGGTGGGTTTTAAGAGTTGAGCCCTCAGCAAAAGACTTCCCACACTCTTTACATTTGTAGGGTTTCTCTCCAGTATGGATTTTGTGGTGGGTTTTAAGAGTTGAGCCCTCAGCAAAAGACTTGCCACATTCATTACATTTATAAGGTTTCTCTCCAGTATGGATTCTGTAATGGGTTTTAAGAGTTGAACCCTGGGTAAAAGCCTTTCCACATTCTTCACATTTATAGGACTTCTCTCCAGTATGGGTTCTGTGATGTTTTCGAAGACAGGAGCTCCTGGTAAAGGACTTGCCACAATCTGTACATTTGTAAGGTCTATCTCCCGTATGAATTCTGCTATGAGCTTCAAAATTTGACCGTCTGGCAAAGGACTTTCCACATTCTTTACATTTGTAGGGTTTCTCTCCAGTATGGATTCTGTGGTGGGATTTAAGAGATGAGCCCTCAGCAAAAGACCTGCCACAATCTGTACATTTGTAAGGTTTCTCTCCAGTATGAAACCTGTGATGAATTTGAAGAGAGTAGCCATGAGTAAAAGACTTGCCACATTCTTTACATTTGTATGGTTTCTCACCAGTGTGTATTCTTTGATGAGCTTGCAGATATGAACCTGTGGTAAAAGACCTTTTACATATTTTACATTTATACGGTTTTTCTCCAGTATGGATAGTGTAATTCTCTCTGTGGCCTGAGAATTGAGAAAAGGACTTTCCAGAGTCTGTAAATTTGCATGCTGTCTCTCCAGTTTGAAGCATCTTAAGTCTAGTGAGGGTTGGAAAACTCCTGGAGCATTTCCCAGATTTCTTACATTTTTGTTGAACTGAGGATCTTGGATGTCCAACAGGTTTAGAAGGAGGGGTAAACTGCAGTCTATATATTTGGTTTTTCTGAGGTTTCTCTCTAGTGTGGCTTAAATCATTTTGAGTCATATTTAGATAGAAATTGAAGGATTTATCACTTCCCATAAACAGGCATGGTTTTCTTCCAAAGTCATTGACCTTATCCCTCTCAGTGCTTGATGACTCTGCTGAGACGTTGCTGTACTTACCAGATCTCTGTCTGTTAGATTCTCCTCTGGCCCTCATTTCAGTGCACTGACTACAATTGGAGGAGTCATTTAACATTTTATTCTGCTGATTGCTTGTGGACAGCTTCTCTTGGCTATAGTCCTGCCGGTGCAAAGGTGACTGTGTGCACTGACCAGAGACACCCCTACATCTATCATTATTGTAACAATTCTCCAGAAAACAATTACTCATCTGTCCATCACTGGGAGTCACATCATGTTTATAGCTGTCCCATGAGGCGTTACCTTGGTCAACAATCTCTGTAAACTGATGGTTGTGGTTATTATGTAGTGCGAAGTTTGTAGTAAGGCCTTTATTATCTTCACGATGTCTGTGGGGATATTCAGAAGTACCCATCCGATGATGTCTTTCATGTCCTACTGGATTCACGCACACAGTCTTATGTTGATCAACACTGTAGTCCCTGTCACAAGGTAGATTTACCTGTGGAGAATGTTGTAAAGAATTTTCAGTCAAATACTTCTCACTCTCATAACACTGTATGTGTTTTTCTGTGATACTAATCCCCTGTTCTTCACAGAATGTTGAAAAACTGCTTAATCCCATACTACATAAAACGTATCTCAGAGACTCATATGAACTCCCCATGTTACTTCTCAGTGTATTAACACTTCCATGAAGAGTAAAGTTATGTTTCAAAAACTGATGTGAACATTTTTCTACCAGAGCCTCCCACTGTGAATGTGGAAGGGGCCCAGAGTGAGCTGTGTCAGGAGAAGACTGAGTTTCTTGATCTCCCCTGTCAGGAATGTCAGCAGTAGGTTTTGCATACAGATCATTTACATCCTCACAGAATTCACGCTCTTCACTGTCACCCCTACATTCCTAGAACTCCCTTACCTCTAACTTTCTGAGGCTGTTACTTCCAAATTGTCCCAATCCTTCTCTCTGGACAGATTCTTGTTTGCCCTCCATTTTGAACAATTCCTTGTTATGAAAGCAAGACAAGGCTGGAAGAAATGAAAGAAAATCATTATTTCACTTTGTGGACTTACACATAAATAATATAGAAACATGATACAGAAAGGTACACCGCTACAAGGACTGTGCCAAGATGATCTCACCCGACCTTCAGAACTTCTGCTGTCAGGAGACAAGTGTGCTGAACATGACGGATGCAAGAGGATGTCACATGGAGATGTATCATATAATTTGTAATAAATGGAAGGGCCAGCCTTAATTCTGTAGTGTAACAGATAATTCATACAGAATTGTGTCATGGTGAAAACTGAAACTATTATTTGATAATAAAAATGGTCTCTCCACTTTGAAAGTGAATAATCAGATTGGACACAAAACAGCTTTCTAAACACACAAGGAAAACAATAAAAAGAATGAATAAATACAACATATAGTTATTCTAGGATAGATTCATAGTTGCAGATTAAGCAATATATTTCAGAACATGTCAGATTACACAATCTATTTGAAAACACTGAGTCAGTAAGAAAACAAAGATAACATGTGAAACAAATGAGAGCTACAAAGCCACAGAAGTTAGTGGACGCCATGACACAAGTTTCAGAATCTCCAAATAATCGTAATGTTTAAGATAGTTCATTTTTTTAAATGAAGTGAATTTTTTTTAAACAAGAAAAGCCCCTCTGTGTACAAATTAAAATTTTCAACCACACTGCAATTTAGAACTCAATTTCAACAAACATATAAAAAAGAAAAGCTTATATGTGTAAATATACATATTAATTTTAATGTAATTTTAACTAAAAGAGAACTATATCTCTTTCCCCTTCCTTTCCTGCCTAGAGGTCATCCTAACACTCTCCATGCAACTCTACTTCATTTCTGGAAGTAGGGAAGTCAATACAGAATGAAAATGAGGTTGTCTGAAAGTCCCTCAAATATATTTTTTATTTCATCTTAATATATATAATTTAATTTATATATACAATTTATTATGATATTATATAATATATAGTTATGTTATTATATATGTTTTATTTATTTTATATTTGTGTGAAATTCTACACAGTACATATGCAAGATAAGAATGATAGACTGGTTTGAGGCTAGCCTGGTCTACAGAGTGAGTTCCAGGACAGCCAGGGCTACACAGAGGAACCCTGTCTCGAAAAACAAAAAAAAAAAAAAAAGAAAGAAAAAGAATGATAGACTGTCAATAACCCCAGTACCAGGCATGAGAAACCTCATTACATTTTTTTTTTTATATAATCACTATCTGAAAATAAGGATGATTTCACTTTTTTGTCCCTTCCCAATATCTATCCTCTTAAACTCCGTGAAGTTGTTTTTGATCAATAGTTAAGACTTCATCAGTGTAGAAGACACAGTGCTGGGCAGAGTGGTCAACATTGTCTGTTCCTGATGTTAGACAGGTACGGATAGAATGGGCATCCTTGTTGGTTCCTGATTTTATTGAGACAGTTTGAGGTTCTCTCCATTTCCAAGGATATTGAATCTGAAATTACATTATTCTAATGTGTAGATATGATGCTCATATCCCTAATACCTCCCAGACATTTATCATGAAGGGATGTTGTATTTTTTCAGAGGCTATTTCTCCATCTATTGAGGTGATTATGCGTTTTTTGTTTTATAGTGTGTGTCCCTACTGAAGAAGGTGTAAAAGAAAAAAAAAAAGTTTTGTGTTCAGAGATTAGCATTAAGGAAAGCTGTAGTCTTCAACACCTAGAATTGTTCCTTTAAATGGAGGGGGGTGTGGCACATAACTTGTTATGAGTGCATAACATTGAGAGAAAGTGTTGATAACACCTGGTGAAGTTTGTGCTGTGTGGCCGAGGCCAAGGATCCTTCCCCAGACTCCTATTGTGAGCTTGTCAATATATATAACCTATCTTTATAGGAGGTATCACATGAAGTCAATCTAAAGAACCCATCTTTATGGAGGATGTTACATGTGCTTTACGAAGAGCTTCGATGTTGTCATGTCTAAAGCTTTATTGTGCACACAGGATACAGTTAATTATTACCAGCAAAAAGGTCACCAGATTTTGTTGTGCGTAAGAGTGCCTAAAATAATCTATTCAGAGTCAGGCCAACAAAGTTTGAATCAACACCAGATCTTAGTTGTGTTCAACAAATCTGCTTTGTTTCTTACCCTAGACTAGCCTATTATTCTACTAGCCTAGGTGGTTGCAGAAACTCCTGCAACTGGCATGCAAAGTGCAGGGCAGAGCCCTCACCGAAAGTAAGAACAAAAATGTTTTCAGTAACAATGACTAGTTCCATCACCAAGGTGAGATGCAGAGGTGACAGAGAAGGAGGACATATAGAAATTTCAGTGTTTCTTGGAATTCCCCTACTTTTGTAATTCATGAAAAGCCAAAAATGATATTGACTGTTACATGACATCTGAGGCATAAACACTACTACAAAAATAATGGGAGCTCCTCAGACAAGACTCCCATCCTACTGATGTCCTGAGTGACATCAGAATTAGTATCCTGTCAAATATTTAAACAACACATTTTAAAAATAAGAAAAGGGCTATACAGTCACTCAAATCACCACATACAAGGCTGCATTTAGCTAGCTCAGTTTCAGATTCATTCATGTTAAAGGCTGATACCTTTTCTGTTGCCCAAAACCATTTTACACTAAAGGAGACACAGTCTAAAATATATCAAAAATGGAAAGATTAGAAAATAATCAATGGAAAGAACTAGATGTCCTCCAAGTTTCAGGCAGAGGCAATATTTGTGTCTTTCCAGGAAATGAAGTCCTAGATGGTACCTGCTCTAATAGCTCAAACCACAACACTATCCTGGAGCCCACCAGACTAATAAAGCATATGAAGAAGACAAGTCTATAAAGAGGATATAACCTAAGAGGAAGAATAAGCTGATGGCTTGGGGAGACATCAGGGACACAATACTAAAAATCCCAAAACTATGTTTTTATATTTACTGACTACATTACATGTTAATAGTCAGCTTGTCAATGCAAATTCCATTTTTCTTTAAATTAGGGAGCAGGGAAGATGAAAGGCATTTGTGTAATAGGAAATAGTATGATGTGGTTTTCAAATACTAAAGATTGATTTTATGTTGTTTTTTTTCTTTTAAATTATCAATCCCAGGAGTTATTATTGATATACAAGATGAAAACATGGCTGTATAATTAATAGAACTACTAAAATCAAATATATTAGCAGAAATTACCTAAGAAATGGACAAAGTAAGAACCAACATTTTAAAAAAAAGAGTTAATATTGACTGTGTGTTGTTAATCTTGGTTGTCAACAATTTTCTGGCATGTTTTGCTTTAATGTGTTAGATTTCTTTCATATAATTGATGGTCAAATTCATAATCTCCATCAAGAGATAAAATCTTTCTCCATCTATTGGAGTGATTATGAGTTTTTTGTTTTATAGTGTGTGACCTTTGAGTAACCCTTGTGGTTAAGACAGCTTTCCCCTTTCCTTAGTCCTATTAGATATTCATATAATTCTATTTTTCTGGAGATTCTCTTGTCCATAGGAATAGTGCTGGGATTAAAGACATGTCCTACTGGGTCTGGCATTTATACAGGTTCTGGGTAATCTGATTTGGAGTCACCCATTCTGTGAAAGAAGAATCTTCTAAACCATCTCCTAAGCACAAAAAATGTACGTGAATGTGAAGGGGTGTGTTGTGTGTGTGCACGTGCCACAGTGTGCACGTGGCAGTTAGAGGAAATCTTACAGGAATTGGTTCTCCTACTTAGGTCATCAGGCTTGGTAGCAAGTGCCTTTGCCCAGCAGCCAGCCCATCAGTTCACTATAATCCAATATGGCCTCAGTTCAAATTCCTGGAAAGACTCCATTTGACAGAATTTAGTTCGTGCAGAGGTGATTCATTAAAGAAGCTCCAAAACATTAAATATGTTCACAGCGCTCATCTAGAGTTTATGTTTCACACAACCCTCAAGAGCATCTTATAAAAGACTCAACAAAGTGTTTACCACTGCCCAGGCCCCAGGAGGAAGTTCTCTCACCAACTCTGCTTCCTTGCTGATCCTTAGGAGGGCCTCCTGATACAAACAAGTCTCTTATATCCTTTGAGAGTTGCTGGGATACTACGGCTCTCTTCCATCTCCAGTACTCTTTTGTCATGTGTCTATTATACAATTAAGAAGTCTGCTTTAATGGTAATTAGAGACCAAACAGAGAAAGCATCTTAGAAGCAGGGCAGAGAGGAAAGGTCCAGGCAGTCTATGGAAGCTATGGCATAATGACAGGCAATCTAGCAGTTACCCTCCATTCCCCTAGAACCTTGTGCCCTAGTTTGCATTAAGTGACAACTTGACAAAGCCTGGAATCAAGTGAGGAAAAAAAAATCTCAATGGAGTAATGTATTTTTATTTATTTATTTATTTATTTATTTATTTATTGGTTTTTTCGAGACAGTGTTTCTCTGTGCAGCCTTGGCTGTCCTGGAACTCACTCTGTAGACATGGCTAGCCTCGAACTCAGAAATCTGCCTGCCTCTGCCTCCCAAGTGCTGGGATTAAAGGCGTGTGCCACCACCACCCGGTGAGTAATTTTTTTTTTAATGATTGGTCTATAGACATATCTGTGATACAGAAATGCCTTGATTGATAATTGGGCAGAGCATGCCAGCCGACTATGGAGTGCTTCCATTCCCTCAGTAAGTGGTTATGGGCTATAATGAGAAAGATACATGAATATCAGCCTGACAAGCAAGTCAGCCTACAGCATAGTTTTTTGGCTCTGAGAGAGACTTCCTACCTTAACTTCTCTGAACAACAGGCCTACAATGTGGAAGCACAAGTTGAAATATAATTTTCATTCCTCTAAGCTGCTTATAGTCACGGTATTTGCCACAAGCAGAATAAAACCAGGGTACCTACTTTTTTAATCACAATATCCCAGGATATCTGAACAAAGAGGGATCTTCAGATAGTTTTGCTCTACTATTTTGGAACCTATATTGGGTTCTTGAGATTTAAGAAACTCATAAAGCTTTCAAACCCAGTCCAGAAAACACATGTACTCCAAATTAAAAGTAGACCTTCCTACATCAAAAGAACCAGATTAATGGTGGGTTTTCCCACTTCACATAATTTTACTAAGATAATCTCTCACAGGTGTAGCCAGCGGCATGGATATTGCCACCTTCAGTGGAAGAGCCTTCCGACATCAATCATCAAAATCTCTCATAGACACAGCAACCAGGCATTTTAATGAGGGCGTGCCCTCAGTTGAGACGACCTCAGATCACTGTAGGCATTCAAATATATGAGACTTTGGGGCCATTCTTATTCAAACCACAGTCATTAGCCCCCAGTGGCTTGTAGCTCTATCATAACGAAAAAAAAAATCATAATTTTTGCTATCATAATGGCAGTCAGTCCAATTTCCAAAGTCCCCATCATCTGTAACAGTCTCAACAATGTTTAAAAGTCAAAAGTTAAAAGTAATCTCTTAACACTAACCTGCTGTGAAATCAAAACCAAATGCAGATCACATACTTTCTTTTTTTTTTTTTTGGTTTTTTTGAGACAGGGTTTCTCTGTGTAGCTGAGCCTGGAACTCACTCTGTAGACCAGGCTGGCCTCGAACTCAGAAATCCACCTGCCTCTGCCTCCCAAGTGCCCGGATTAAAGGCGATCACATACTTTGGACAATCAATGGCAGAGGATATATATTACCATTCCAAAAGGGAGGAAAGGGATCATAATGAGGAAACATTGGATCCAAACAGGAATAAAAACAACAGGGAAAATTCCAAGTCATAATTTCCACATCTGATGACAAAGCACTATTCAGAATTCTAAATCTTTTAGCTTTGTTGACTGCAACACATTTCTCTCTCTCTTAGGCTGGTTCCACACAAAGTCTGCAGCTCTCTTCCACAAGTATTCCATAATTCTGGAATCTCCAACATCCTGGAGTCTCCAACACAATACAGACTTCAACTTTACAATTTCATGCAAAGGCCTCTCTGAGCCTCCATGCAGGGACAACCCTAGCACAAACCTGGCCTCAGTAGCTTTTCCTAACCATGAAAGGAGATTCCAGACTGCCTCTTTTGTATCACTGACTCTAAAGCCAGAATCACATGGCCCAAACTGCCACGTTCTTTTGCTTGCTAGAGCTGGAATTTGGCTCCCTGTTCAAATAAATTTTCATCAGTTTTCTGTTTTTTTTCTGCTTAAGCAACCAGTCATTTTAATGAGACTATGACAGCATACACAAGACCTGTACAAGCTCAAGACTGAGAAACTCACAGCTCAAAGAAGGGAAAATATGCACAAACTTCCACCTCTAGCCAAGCCCCTATTTGATATCCATAGAATCTGTGAGAGGGAAAACCAGTACTCGTCAGTGGAATGACATTGGATGTATCAACCACATTTCAGAGAATGCCCAATGTGCCAGTGCATTTACCTAATAGAAATCTAAATCTTTGGTCTTTTATGACTTTTCAGTGTTATTTTCATTTTTGCGGAAGAGTGCTTATGAGAGAGACATCATGATGTTGGGTGAGCGTGAGTGAGGGCAAGTGAACAGGAAGATGGTGAGAGGAGAAAATATATGACAAATTGTGTTATATAAAACTAAAAAATAGCCAGTCGGTGGTGGCGCACGCCTTTAATCCGGGCACTTGGGAGGCAGAGGCAGGCGGATTTCTGAGTTCGAGAGTTTGAGGCCAGCCTGGTGTACAGAGCAAGTTCCAGGACAGCCAGGGCTACAAAGAGAAACCCTGTCTCAAAAAAACAAAAAATAAATAAATAAATAAATAAATAAATAAAAATAAAATAAAAAAAATACAAAATATATAAATAAAAAGAAAAACCTAAGCAAAACAAATCAGCACTGGACCACCACAGACAAATACAACATTTAGTAAAACACACAATAACCACACAAACATTGCCAAACTGAAACTGTAATATTATATTTTAACTCAATACTATTTGGATAAAATGTGATAAAAAAAACAAAACCAATGTAATTCCACTGTGTATTACATTCTCATTACCTAAGTGTCATCCCTACACAGGGAAGGGCTAACATGCTAATATCTCTACAAGTCAGGATTACTACTTGAATTAGAAACACCACGGGACATTGTTTCCTTCCAAATTACCTGGTTCTATACCTTTTAACTCCTTCATGCCTGCAATGGAGGGTTCTTCATTTTGTCCAAGACAGAGGAGTAGCTCTGATTTTGATACTGAAAGGCCTGTGCATTAGAAGAGACATACAACATCTGTGTTATTTTATGTTCATTATAGTTGTTTTCACACACTGGGCTGTACCCAGTGGATAAGAGGAAACAGAATGGAAGAACCACAAGTGACTTCGTAACTGTTAATTGCTGACACATATTTTAGACTTTCCTGAAGTGAATACACTTAAGTATTTATATATGTTTATTCTCCTTTAAATTAGCACATGAAGAGCTGGAGAGATGGCTCAGCAGCTAAGAGCAATGACTGATCTTATGGAAGTCCTGAATTCAATTCCCAGCAATCACATGATGGCTCACAACCATCTTTAATGGAATCCAATGCCCTCTTCTGTTGTGTCTGAAGACAGCAACAGTGTACTCATATACATAAATAAGTAAATCTTTAAAAAAATGAACACTTGAAAAAACATAACTGGAAAAATCAACTTTTACAGACAGATACACAGAGTATGTGCTTTTAAATGTCGGACACATGTAAACATATTTCTAAATTGAAGGATTTTACTAAATGTAAACACAAGGTAGACGGGTTTCAAATGTTTGCATAAACAAGACAATCACCACTGTCTAGGAGGGACTGAAAGCTGAGACTCAGACAGTGGAAAGATGCAAATAGCAAACACATTGATAGACATCGTAGAATGAAGTAGAAGTCACAAAAGAAAACTCTTCTCACCCACAGAGACCAGGATGCTGTAGATCTCCAACATCACATCTCTATACAAAGTCCGCTGAGCAGAGTCCAGACACTCCCACTCCTCCTGGGAGAAGTCTATGGCCACATCATTGAACGTTAACAGACCCTGAAACGAAAATTAACATTTCCTCTTATGTCCATTGGTTTAGAAATTACCAACAGAATGAAATTAAGGTAACTACGAAATTTGTTCCATTATCAATACACATTTTTCTAAAGTTATGATCTGAGACAGAGGACATTTTGACTTGTCTAGAAAGATCCAATAGACCCCTCAGATGAATGGTTCAGGAGCAGGAGTATCTCCTCAGTGATGAATAATCACCTATATCCTTCTCTGAGGCAGTTAATATCTACATTCACCTCTGATATCGGAAAGTTTGTAAATATATCAGGTCATGCATTCCTGGAGAGAAATGAAGATAAAGAAAGAACAGACAGAAAAACAAGAGGCTGCACACAGGTGAGAAAATTTAAAGGATTAATATTGAGAATTATCAGAATAATAAAAAAGACTAAAGAGGACAATCATAATTATATGTCCCATGTTAGTCCTATCTTTTAGGAATTGGAGGACCTGGTGACGACCCATCTCTGTTATCTCCTGGAGCCTCCTTCAACTGGGTGAGTGGGTCCACAGGGTGACACTGCTGTAGAGGTGGTGAGGGCCACAAGCTATAGGCCTTTCAGTGTTGGTTCCTGGCTCCAGGTTGGGATCCTCTTCACCCACATAAGGACATCAGGATGGAAGTGTGGACAAGCTCAGACATGGGTAATGGCACAGCATCTTGAAATGTCTGTTTAGGGTCTATTAAGGAATTGAGGAGGAAAGAGTTAATAATCTACAAATATACAAGATAACAAACTTCTCTATATGGGGTACACCTGGCCTTTAACAGGGCAAAAGGTAGGAGACTGGTCCAATTGTTACCAGTCTAAAGGAAATATTTAGTTTACCTATACACTTGATACCCTGTGCCACAGCAGACACTCAGAAACAATGAATGCCTGCAGAGAGATAAAATTTAAGTTTCTCCTTTCCTACACTGAGATGGCCCCTTCTTCCAGCACATGATGGATGTCTCTCTATACCTGGCAATACGGATGCATGACCAGCTTTAACCTAACACAGGCTTGTTGGCATTTAAAATGGAGGCTAAGCACATTGTCTGTCAGAAGCCCTAGTGATCCTGTCCTCATTTTCTATTTGTCTTAGATACTTAATTAAAACAAAATCTATTCCTCTACTTGGGATAATGGCCAGAATCTGCAGGCTAGCCATAATAGCCTCCCCAATCACAGAACTTAACACAACTGATGCCACAGTGGAAGCACCATTCAGGCCACTAAACACAGCACAATCACAGCACCACCTGCCAAACACAAAACCAAAGACTTAATCCATCACAGTCCTTAGATCTGGGAAGACTACATGTAACTTTCATTTTTGGCTTGTGTACTTCTGCTTCTGTTAAACTGTTCTTGCTAACTAAGGTGTCAACAGAGGACGTGGTTATGTGCTTAAAAGCTCATCCTGAAAAAGGGTAAGGAATACACTTGGATCCCAGATACCCAGTGGAGTCAGCAGATGGCTAATAGAGACTTTCTATTGGCTTAACCCCTGTCACAGTAGACTTCTCTGGTTCACACTGCACAATACAACAGCTAAAAGTATTTCTCATACTGGCAATGCAACCTAGATGCCTTGGGACTAGAAGCCTACTTGATCATGGTGGATGATGTTTCTGATGTGTTCTTGAATTCGGTTTCTGAGTATTTTATTGAATATTTTTGCTTCAATGTTCATAAGGAAAATTGGTCTGCAGTCCCCTTGTCTTGTGGAGTCTTTTTGTTTGTTTGTTTTGGTTTTGTTTTTTTGAGACAGGGTTTCTCTGTGTAGCCCTGGCTGTCCTGGAACTCACTCTGTAGACCAGGCTACCGTTGAACTCTCAAACTCTCGAACTCAGAAATCTGCCTGCCTCTGCCTCCCAAGTGCTGGGATTAAAGGCATGCGCCACCACAGCCCAGCATAAAATAAGTGAGGGCGAGCCAGCCAGGAGTTGAACCTAGAATCTTCTGATCCGTAGTCAGACACGTTATCCATTGTGCCACTGGCCCGCCATTTGTGGAGTCTTTGTGTTGTTTGAGTATCCGGGTGATTGTGGCCTCATAGAATGAGTTTAGCAGTGTTCCTTCTGTTTCTATTTTGTGGAATAATTTGAGAAGTATATGTACTAACTTTTCTTACAAAGTCTGGTAGATTTCTGAGCTTAAACCATCTGGGCCTGGCCTTTTTTCATTTTGAGACTTTTGATGACTGCTTTTATTTCCTTAGAAGTTATAGGACTGTTTAGTTATAGGACTGTTTAGTTATAGGACTGTTACTTGATCTTGATTTAACTTTGGTAAGTGGTAGCTATCGAAAGAATCATCCATTTCATTTAGATTTTCCAATTTTGGGGGGTGTAAGCTTTTGAAAGAGAAGATGCGGCTACCTATTATCTATTCGACATAGTACTTGAAGCTCGAGCTCGAGCAACAAGACAACTAAAGGTGATCAAGGGAATCCACACTGGAGATGCAGAAATCAAAGTATAGCGATACTATTCATAGACAATATCATACTATACATGAGTGACTTGAAAATTCAACCAGAACTCCTACAGGTGATAAACACTTTCAGCAAAGTGGTTGGATACAAAATTAAATAAAAACTCAGTAGTTTTTAAATAAAAACTCATGTACAAACAATAAACAGGCTGAGAAAAAAGTTAGGGAGACAACACCCTTTACAATACCCAAAAATAATATAAAATACCTTGGTGTAACTCGAACCAAGCAACTGACAATCTGTATGACAAGACCTTCAAGTTTCTGAAGAAAGAAATTAAGGAAAATATCTGAACATGGAAAGAATATCCCATGCCACACACCCTGGCCTTCCTCTCTCCTCCTCAATGTGCCCTAGCACTCAACTTAAGCTAACACACCCTGCTCAACCATAGGCCATGCCTGCCACATGACCAGGTAGGCTGGTCATAAATTTTCTCCATCCTGTTTCTCCAAACCAAATAATCCTCATGGTCACCCCTAGTACCACAACAAATCATTGCCCCTGGGATCTTCTTTCCCCAGCCTACAACAAAAAACAACCACTCCCAATGAACACACCAGCTGAGCAGGCCAGTAAAATAGGCAACACAAAGCAATGCTCTCTCTGGAATTCCAGACAGGAGACAAAAACCAGGAAACAAAACACCCCTGCAACAAAAACAAACCCAGAAATCAGCACCTCAACCCATAAGCCCCCCAAACCAGATGCTAGCTTAAGAACACAATCAATAACAGTCAAGGCAATATGTGTTTACCAAAGCTTGTAAAAAAGAAACCAAACATAAGTCATTTTGAATAAAACTTCCATTTTTGAATATGGGTTAAATAAGTTCCCAAGACCTCCCTCCCTGGGTAACTGACATACTGGGTGGATGAGATATGAATGGAAGGCAAATCGCCTTGCCACCGATGAATAAACCAAACAACAGAAACATGGTAAGTGTACCACAAAGATATGTTCCTAAGAAAGTCCCGTGTCCCTAAATGCTGATTGGTGGAGTGCAATTTGACACAGAGGTTTGTGGTCTACAAGCTTAAAAGATCTGTAACATTCGGGCTCTAAGTCCCAATTTAGCTCCCTAGTCTGTTCTTCACACTGATGAATCAGTAGTAGCTTGATTACAATAAAGTTGTCCTGCTGCTTTAAGCTGTGCTGGACCTATCTAGTCAGACCCCATAACAAGCCCAGAGATCCTACTACAACAGGCCCTGAATATTCCAACACAGCTGAAGCACAAGAAAAAGGTCTTACAACCAACTATCAGAACATAATAGATCTCCTTAAAGAGGAAATGGTTTCCTTAAAGAAATCCAGGAAAACACAAACAAACAATTGGAGGAAATGAATAAATTGTAATGCCCAAAATTAACCTGTAAGCCCACCCACTCAGACCAAGTAACATCATGGAATGCTGGGAGTTGTAGTTCTTAAAAAAAAGCCTCATGGGAAAATATGATTGCCAAATGGGGTTTAGTCCGTAAAAGCCCCTACAACAGATGTCTTGGAGCCATTCAGCTGGGTAATAAAGGGAGTGGTCTAGACCAAAGTCCATCTTGGTCAGCATTTAATAAAGCTTGCTTCAAATTTGGCTCAAAATGGTGGAACTGGGTTTTCTCTGACAGACAATCTCAGGTTTAACATTATCCTTTAATGAAAGCAGGGGTGGGGTGAGGAGGAACAGTTGAAGGAAACAAAACTGTTTAATACTAAAAAATGGAAATAGTATCAATAACAAAAACTGAGTGAATTCTAGAAAAGAAAACATTAGGATGCAAACAGGAACTACAGAGGCAACCTTCAACAAAATACAAAAGAAAAAAGAAAGAATCTCAGGCATTTACTACAGAACAAATGGATCTATCAGTCAAAGCAAATGTTATTCCTGACACAAAATATCCAGGAAACCTGAGACACGATGAAAAGACCAAACTCAAGAATAAGAATAGAGAAAAGAGAAGAATCCCAGTTCAAAGACCCAGGAAATAATTTTTTAAACTTTTTATTGATTCTTTGTAAATTTTACATCAAGTAACCCAATCCCATTCATTTCCCAGGCCCTTCAAATACGATGTCTTCCCTTGCAACCGCCCTTCCAAAAGCAAATACAAAATAAAAAACAACAAAAGAAAACAAAAACATCTCATCGTGGATGTTACAGTATGTCATCACATGTCACATGGGATTTTATAGTGTGTCACCGTGTGTCACAGGGGTATACCCTTTTGTTTACTCACCTATATTTGCACATGTTCATTCCTAAAATTAACAAAACCACAGAAGAAAAGTTTCCCAGCCTAAAGGGGATGCCTATAATACTAGAAAAAGCATACAGAACACCAAAAAGATTGGACCGGAAAAGAAAAATGAACTTGCTACATAATAATCAAACACTAAACATACAGAACAAAGAAAGAATATTAAATGCTGCAAGGGAAAAAGACCGAGTAACATATAAAGGCAGACCTATTCGAATTAAACTCAACTTTTCAACAAAGACTCTAAAAGCCAGAAGGTAGACATGGTCATCCAGACAAAACCAACACAGAGAAATACTTGAGTTAATGGATTTTATAAACCATATGGGCATAACAGACATTTACAGCTCATTCCACCCAAACAAAAAAAGAATATAAATTCTTGGCACTTCACTGAACTTTCTCCAAAATTAACCACATACTCAAGTACAAAATAAATCTTTAGAATACAAAACTACTGAAATACTCCTGTATCCTATTATACCACCATGGATTAAAGTTGGAAAAAAAAAAAAAGAAAAAGAAACAACAGAAAGCTTACTAACTCATGAAAACTGAACAACTCTCTATTGAATTAAACAATGAGTTAAGTATATTTTGGTTTTAAGCCTAACCTTTTAATGTCTGAGATATCTCTCTGGATTTCCCTGGGAAAGGGAAATAGAATAGATTTTGCAAGTGGACTGGGGATGAGTGAAGATGAGAACAGGAAGGAGGGAGGGAGAGAGGGAGGGAGGGAGGGAGGGAGGGAGGGAGGAAGGAAGGAAGGAAGGAAGGAAGGAAGGAAGGAAGGAAAGAAAGAAGAAAGACAGACATGACACAAATGAAGGAAGAAAATTAAAGACTTTCTAGAATTCAATGAACATGAAAACACAACATACTGAAACTTATGGAAGACAACAAAAGCAATGCTAAGAGGAGAAAGTTCATAGCACTAAGTGCCTACATAGAAAAACTGGAGAGGCCGGGCGGTGGTGGCGCACGCCTTTAATCCCAGTACTTGGGAGGCAGAGGCAGGCAGACTTCTGAGTTCGAGGCCAGCCTGGTCTACAGAGTAAGTTCCAGGACATCCAGGGCTACACAGAGAAACCCTGTCTCTAGAGAAAAAAAAAAAAAAAAAAAAACCTGGAGAGATCTAATTCCAGCAACTTAACAGCTCAGCCTAAAGTTCAAGAACAGCAGTTCTCAATCTGTGGGTTGTGAGTCTGCCTAAGACCATTGAAAAACACTATTTCTGATGGGTGTAGGAATTAACACTATTGCTCTGTCTCCAGTTGGGTCTGCCCACAAGCAGATACCCCTACACGAGCACATGGAACTGTATTAACTTGTAACAGCATTAGAAAAGTTAAGAACCACTGATATACAGCTTGACCTAATGTGACCTTGCCCTCTTGAACAATATGACCTTTCTGGTGTGACTGTACACAGCCATAATTCGTGTAACCATGACCTTGTAACTATGTGTAGCTTCAACTCAAGTAAACTCTGCTCATAAGTGCCTAGCCCTCAAAATATAAACACTCTTATTCCCTGAATAAAGATGTCTATTGTCTGACACCTTAGTCTGCTTCATTATTAGGTTCCCAAACCCCAGGTTCATGTTGCCAACTAGAGTGGTAAAAACGTAAAAACACGTACTCTCCTAGAACATGCGTATAAATAAAATGGAATTTTGACACACATTGTCTGTTCTCAATAGAATACACCAAATAAGGAAGTAGCAGAAGTTGATCAAATAATGATTAAACACAAACTTGGCTTTATACAGAGGTAATAACCATTTATTTATGAAAAGCAGCAGAATAGAAAGCTCATGAGAAAATAAGGCAAAGTATTTGGTACAAATACACTGTTCTACCATTTGTGATTTTAATAAACTGTTTTGGTGAAAAGGAAAATGATTTTCATGATCATATTTCAGTATTTTTTTCTGAATATCCTACTTTTTAGCTTTGTAAAAATTATAATATCTTGATGATATTAAGTGTGGTACTTTTTGCACCTTTCTCTGTAAATTTCCTTAAAGCTGTTACTACTGCTAAAGAGGAAAAAAAAATCATGGTGAAGATCCACAGTCACAGCGAGAAAATCAGCATCAACACCCACTGGAGAGATTGCTAGCAAGTGTCAGCATAAAGGAAGGGCATTGCTTGATCAGTGTGATGTTGGGTGCTAACAACTAGAACAATCTAAAGGACTCCCTGTATCAAGTCACATAAAGTCAAGACGATTGGTAACGAGCACAAAATAAGAAAACTTGAGACTAGATATGACTGACGCATTTCTGACCTTCAAGTTTATAACACATTTAAATATTTCCTCTTAGTATGGGAGGGAAGAAGTCTTCTGATACTACTGCTTCAAACATCACTCTTGTCAAGGAATTACACCACTGCTTTGTGCCTCTTTCTCAGACTTGACTACCAAGTCCAATAGAAACCTAGATAGAAGAACTATAAAAGGGGGGGGGGGAGGTGTTTCTTACTCATTCATAATGATGACCCAATTCCATTATCAGTAGGCTGTGTTTATTTATAAAATCAAAAGTCTATAAACACTGCAGGTTATGTATGCTGGGGAGAATTTATCCTAACGAATACAAAATGGAAAACAGACAGAGGCAAACAGGTATCACCCTTTTTACAAGAGTTGACACTAGGGGCAGCAGTTCAGCAATTAAGAGCACTGACTGCTCTTCCAAAGGTCCTGAGTTCAATTCCAGCAACCAACCACAAGGTGGCTCACAACCATTTGTAATGGTGCATCTGAAGACAGCTACAGTGTACTCATCATATATGTGTGTGTACACACAAACACACACACACACACAAACACACACACAAACACACACACACACACACACACACACACATATATATATATATATATATTCTTTAAAAAAGAGTTGACAGACACAGACATACGATAAAAAAAAAAGAAAGCTTTGATAAAAAAAAAAAAAAAAAACTTGGTTAAGAAAAAAAAAAAAAATGTTCAGTTCAAGGAGGCTGAACTTCCCTGCTGCATGCAAGGCTGTATTTCATCCTGCAATGTCCCCTTCTCCCAACAATCCATAAGAGGCAGACAACCTCTTATGAAAAGTTTTAAATTACTACAAATGATAAAGACCCATAGAACTTTAAGGAATCAATGTTATTCCAGTGTATAACCAATTCCCCAAGTTAGAAATAAAAGTGGAAACTTAACTTCAAAGGCCCTAAAAAGATTTAAAGACAAACTACTCCAACATTGTGTCATAGGACGCCTGTACAGCATAAAGGAGTAGACCTCTACACCAACGTCCAGCTTTGTACCCCAAGATCATGTAAAAAAGGAGAGGATAGCAGCCCATAGTAGGAGGAAGAAAAACAAAATAAAATAAAACAACCTCTGTGTAGGCAAAAAAAAAAAAAAAAAAAAGACCCAGCACTTAAGAGATTTAGGCAGAACTATAACAAAAGCATTCATGCTCTCCTGCAGCAGTGCTAGGCTTCTCCTTACTCAGAGTGAAGGCAGGAAAATAAATCCGTATTAACTCAGATTTTTGCACGCAATAATTTCTTGGATAACTGAATGTAAAATAATAGCCACTAAAAAGGCATCTGAAAACTTAATTGCACCATTATCAGATGTATGGTATCATCTCCTCTCTGACTTTACCATGACAACTCCACACCTGAAGAATGAACATCACACTCATTGAGGTTGGGTGAATAGTTTGCTTCCGAAAAGAAAGCACCACATACCACATACCAGGCTGTCACTGGGAGTTTCAAAACCAAAGACTTAATATGATTACATTTAAAAGTGGCAGTTTTTCTAACCTGACTAGCTCCCAAATAACTGAGACAGAGACCTATTGACTTATTCAATAAGCTTTGATCACAATCACTGAGCCAAACTTTTAAGCCTTGATGCTACCTAGCTACTTCCCGGACATACTCTCCGAGTTATTTGCATTCTGCCTCTCCTTGGCTCCTTGGTGTAGCTGGGAGTCCCCATGGAGGACACCCTTGGCAAATCCTCCTCCAGCCTGACCTCACAGCAACAATCTCCTCCTTCCTCTACCTCATGGCCTTCTTTCTTGTACCCTCGCCTGCCTCATGGTGAGCTCCTTCTCTCTGCTCTTCTCCCTGGGACCCCTGACTGGGACTGGAAGTCTAATCTTCCTCTCTAATCTGCCTAGTCATTTGCTGTTTAGTTCTTTTGAGTTAATTGGGGAACATTCCTTACAGCATATTGATATAAGAGATTCTCCAAAATCCGTGACATTGCCTATGGCTGGGGTCTAAGCAGATCTCAGGGCACAGAAATCAGCATCTGAACACACAGTGCACAAGACCAGCCCTCGACAACTTTTACAATCAAGGACAACACATGTCAAAGACACATCTCCGAGTGGCCATGTTCTCCTAATCTATTTCATTCATAGGCATGAGGCTGGCAGCCAATATGAAATTTGACAAACCTGGGCTCTACCAGTAACAAAATGCTGCCTATCTCCTCAGCGTATGCTTGGCAAAATTGTTGTAGTAAGAGAACAAAACAAAGCCATAAACGACGGCTCAAACATGAAGAGCATCTGGTGACCGTATAGAGGTCCCAGGTTCAGCACTCACACGTGCCTCACAACCTCTGTAACTCTAATTCCAGGGTCTCAGATCTCCTCTTCTGGCTTCTCTGGGCACTAGGCACACACTTGGTGTACCTACTTATAATCAGCCCAATACTCATATGTGTAAAATAAAAATAAACCTTGAAAATGAAACACACAAATCTGCTTTTAGTAAAAAGCATTATGTATGTCTTCTGCACTTTGGCTCTTACTTCTACTCTGTTGACTCCTAACCTACTTCATGCCCAGCCTGGCCACCATAATGCAGTCATCCTCCAGCCTCTGCTTGGAGAGTGCCAAGATTACAGGACAGTCGTGTGCCACCACAACCTGCTGAACTTCTATAATACATAATGCTGGATTTCTACACTTAACCTCAAACCTGTGCACCAAGGACAGACATGGGGCCACTAGGTCACTTTAATTCTCCCTCTGCTTAATGTATGGAATCTCAGCCTCTGCTTTTCCTCCCCCCCCCCTTTTTTCCCCAAAAGTTTGCAGGGTGTGTAGGTGTGTGGGGGTGGGGTGGGGGGGTTAGTTGGAGAAAGTAGTTCGCTTTTTTAAAAAAAGAATTTTTTTTAAAAGGCCTATCCTTTCTATTCCAAAAAAAAGAAAAAAAGAAAAGATTTTAGGGCTGTTTTACCAGTGTGTGCACCAGGAGGCCAGAAGGGAGCAGCGGATTCCTAGGAACTGCAGTTTCTGGCAGCGCAAAGGCACAGTCTGAGTGTGGGTACTGGGAGCCCAACACTGCTCATCCACATCCAAGCTCCCCTTCTGCCTTTCATCCTCACTGGTCTCTACAAGAGGCATACTGGTTGAGGCTAGCCCTTGCCTGTTTGGATGCAGAAACCTAGGCTTCTGACCTAAAACTTCTTTAGAGCGCCTTTCTGCTCCCCTCTGCCAATCACCTGTCCTTACTACACCCACAGGTCACAAGCACAGACCAGACTACTGACTTAGCCACACATCTGCAATGGACTCCAATAGTTATGTAGAATGGCAACAGAAACTGAATTCGGTTTAGTTTTCTAAAAAATCCTTTTTGTTTTCAGCCCCAGCTCCATATAGGAAGTATGACACAGGAAAAGGAAGTGATCAGAACACCTGGTGTCTGGGGCTAACACTAAGGCTTAAGTCCCAGCTAGGATGACTGGGACCACACTAAGTAGCTTACCCCTATTTCCTGGCGTTCATATAGTTCCTTCTATTCAATAAAAGCAATCTTTTGCTAATACTGCTTAGGCTGGCATTGATACGTTTGGTCCCAGTTTGAGCGGAAACATACATAAATTTATTTTCCCGTTTTCACTTAGTCCTTGGAGTTTTTCTCCTCTCGCAGGCCAGTTACCAGCTACTCAGACACTAAGGGACCAGAAAGCAGCGCGGTCGCCCTCACAAGCACCGCACATTGGTCCCAGGCTCGGATCCTGCAGAGCCCATTCACTGAGTCCTGCCCAAACTGTGTCCTGAACGCACAACGTTCGCAAACGACGTGGCGAAATCGCACAGCAGTGCACACTGGGAAGTGACAAAAAGGACGGGAAAACCCCGCCAGAGAAGAATGAAACCAAGGCTGGTTCCCACCGGCAGCACAACCCGCAGCCCGGCAGCACAACCCGCAGCCCGGCAGCACGGTGTCCTGCCAGCCTGACCGCCACTCACCTCACGCTGCGCCTCACAGAGACAGGAACAAACTCCGCCCGCCCGCAGACACCCACAATTCCAACGGTCCAGACTCCAAGCGTACGCTGTTATAGCAGCAGATTACGTTCGGACCCAAGAGGGTGTGTCCTCTTAGGTCACTTCCGGTTGCTGTCTTGGTTACCACAGTCTACTCGCCTCCCACTTGTGGGACAGCGCACATGTGCGCTACCAGTGGCTGAGGTAAATCTTGCCAATACTTATTATGGCTCATCTAGTGCTTCCTGCTCTTTCAGAGAGTGCCATGGCCGCATTCACGCTCCAGTGATAAGGAAGCAACCATCGAACTGTCTCAGTTCCTCACAACCAGGCATGGCCTGTGGAATGTGATGCACCGAAAGTCCAAGGCTGTCTCACCTGGCCGGGGGAGTTGTTTACTATAGGTTTTTGTATCTATTTCTAGGAGACTGTGACATTGTATCGTCTTAAACCTAACTTTTTAGTTATTTTTAAATTTTTATTAGATTTATTTCATGTGTTTTGTCTACATGTATAATCTACATATATAAACATGCCTAGTGCCTGTGGAGGTGAGAAGAAAGTGTAGGACCCCTGGGATTGGAGTTACAGATGATTTTGAGTCCTCATCTGGGTGCTGTGAATGGAAATCAGGACATATGCAAGAATAGCAACTGCTCTTAGCCCATGTCTCTCCTTTTCTTCGTTTCTTCTGCTTACTTTCACCCAACCTTAAAAGGTTCTCATTTATTTATTTTTGAGATTGTTTCACTTTGTGGGCCTGACAGGCTTGGAACTGGCCATGTAGATCATTCCGGCTTTGCACTCTCAGACATCCCATGGCGTCTGTCTTCTGAGTGCTAGGATTAAAGTTGTTTACCATCACACCTGACCTTTTCTCATTTTTCGAAGATTGAAAACTAGGAAGGATTATCAGGAAACAGGAAAGTGAAGCCATATGAACCATTTAGAGTGAAAATATGAGAAGAACCATCAGGTACTTCTGACTGGGGGTATCTCATGGTTCCCAGAGGATAGAACTCTCCTCTTACTGAGAAGTAAACATTCCTTTTTAAGTGGCATAATAGAAACAGTGTAGAAGTAGATGGACAATGCAAATCATGGTAAATGGGGAGAATGGGGAATGCATCCAGCACTGTAAGTGAATCAGTAGACCTAATGTAAAGTATGAGGCTAATGCCAATGATAGTGAGAGGTGTCTACAGGGTAAATACATTCTAGCCCTGGAAGGTCTAGAACTATGTAGACCAAGCTGGCCTTGAACTTACTCTTACTTAGTCCTGTCTGTACTATTTAAATGCTAGGATCACACAGCAATGTGTCATCATGGCCCGTTCACAGATGGTCCTAGATCTTCCCACTGAGAACAGAGTACCCAAGTGATGATTTAGGGAACTCAGATTCATGGTCAAAGATAGAGGTCAGGAATCCCAAAAGACTAGGCTCAGCTATCAATCACCACATGTCACAATTATAATAAACTGTGAAAGCATTATGCTAATATCAGTTTTCCTCATTTATCTGTTACTTGTAAGCATATCATTATTGATAACTATACCTATTCATTGCATCTCAGGCACCACCTTGTTCTCCAGAGTTTGTTTCCTTACTGCAATCACTGTAGTCAGTAAACATGGCACAGAGCCCATCTTGCACCCCAGCCTGAACCCCAGCTCACTCACCAAGAAGATGGAGCACTTGCCTCACAGACTGTGATGAGTCACTAAAGAGAGGCAGAAGCTGAAGCTGCACACGCATAAGATCAGTCGTTAGAATCTGTACATGAGAGAGAACATGTTGTGACTGTCTGTCTAATCCTCAGTTACCTCACTCGTATTTTCCAATTTATTCCATCTTTCTGTAAGTTTCATTTTTGACGACCCAATAACAGTTTCCATTGAAGTCATGCTAGAGTTTCATTGTACATCTGTCTGTATTGATGAACATATAGACTTATTCCATTGGTTTGCTTTTGTGACAATAGGGGACAGAGTAGTGGTAAGCATGGGTGTGTGAGTGTCTCTTTGCTGTGATGGATCCCCAGAGCGTATGTGTGTCTAGATGTGAGTGCTGGGTCACAGAGTAGACAGACGGATCTGGCTTTAGTCATCTTAGGAACCACCATAAGGCCTCATACTGCATCCCTATCTCAAAAACACATCTTGACAAACAACCAAAGAACAACAGCAAAAACCCAGACTGACTTCATCAGGATTTCCACAATCTAAGTTCCCCTCCAACAGAGAATAGGGCTCCCTCTTCTTCACATTCTAAGCAGAATGTGTCCTTTCGTGATAGGCATTCTGACCAGGATGAGATGGAAATTTAAAGTAGTTTAATTTGCATTTCCCTTATATGTTAGGAAGTTATGACACTACAGATATTTATTGAAAGTATGTCTTGGCGGGCAGTGGTGGCGCATGCCTTTAATCCCAGCACTTGGGAAGCAGAGGCAGGAGGATTTCTGAGTTCGAGGCCAGCCTGGTCTACAGAGTGAGGTCCAGGACAGCCAGGGATACACAGAGAAACCCTGCCTTGAAAAACAAACAAACCAAAAAAAAAAATATATATATATATATATAAAGTCTTGACTGAACACTTCTGTCATGGTGTGCATGTTGTATTGTATTAAGAGGATGTTTTACAGGGGTCTATTCTTTTCTTCTAAAAGGCTGGATAAACCAAGGTGGTTAGGGATTGGCCATTTCTGAAGTTGTTTCGAAGCAAGTCTCTGGAAACAGCATCAGTTGAGGTTGGTTCAGGCAGGGAGCTGGAATAGCAGGTCCTCTCAGGTTCACTCCTGTCAGGGCTGTCCTTCTAGTCTTCCATTCTGCAACATACAAACCTGACATGCAGTACATAATTGTATAAAGACATTTGTAAGGAATGTGCAGCATGCACAAATCAGTTAAGGGAGGTTTTCTGCTCCTGATTTGGGCAGATGAAAGACATTTATCTTTCATTTAATGTTAGTTTGGATTATATCAGATTGTAAATCTTTTTTTTTCCAAGACAGGGTTTCTCTGTGTAGTCCTGGCTGTCCTGGAGCTCACTTTGTAGACCAGGCTATATCAGATTGTAATATCAATTTTTACTTATACCATTTAAAAGAATGGCATGAAAAGTCTTGAGGATTTTGTAGTCAACAAGGTCTATGGCTTTGCAAAGACACATTTTTAAATGTCTCAGCCTGTCTTGGAGCTGTTCTCAAGATGCAGGATCAGCTCATACATTTCCTGTCTTGTTTATCTTGCTAATCTTTGTCTTTTTGTTTGTAGCCAAGATCTTTAGAGAGTTTTCCCTTGTCAAATCTTATTTTTAATAATTTGGATGGAAGATACAGTTTTTCTTTTCTTGTTGGAAGAAATGTAAAATCTTCTGCCCAATATAACATATTTCCTTTTTTCATTTTGGAATTGGGACTTCTCTAGACTGTTCTAATTTAGCAATCCTTTCTGAAATCCAGTGTATCTTAACAGTTGTGCTATTTGTATCACTGACTTTTTCAAAAATTAAAGTCAACAAAGCACATTTCAAACTATCCTTGGGAAATATTATATCCCCATTTTGTTCTATGAGCATTTTCTTTAAGGTCCTGTTATACAATGGCTTGGCATTTAGGACTGTATGCTAAATCACGAATAGGCCTTATATCATGATGTCTATAAAATTGTTGTATGTTAATGAACATAAATCTCTGAACATCATCAGTTTCACTCTGTAATGGTGTTTTCTTTTTTCTTTTTTTAAAAGATTTATTTATTCCATCTGCATGCATACCTGCATGCCAGAAAAGGGCATCAGACCCCCTTAGAGCTGGTTGTGAGCATCGATGTGGTTGCTGGGAATTGAACTCAGGATCTCTGGAGGAGCAGACAGTGTTGTTAACCGCTGAGCCATCTCTCTGTTCCCATGTAAAGGCATTTTCAAAACAGTCATCATCTCTAATAAATGTGCAATCTCAGAACCATTCACCTCAGAACTCAAGACAGAAGTACATTGGAACTTGAAAATTGGATCAATTGTATGATGTATGTAAACCATGTATATACTTTAATTTTTTGAACTTTGCAAAATGCAATCCATTGTGTAGCATTGCTTTAAATTAGCATCAATAAGCAGAATCTGGATTTTTAATTTGATATATTATATCTTGATGGGCTTCCATTATTAATTTTTAAACTTCTGTGGAACCTTCCTGTCTAGAACTACATTTAGACTCTGGGAACTCTCAGGGGTCCAGGTTAGTTGACACTGTTGGTCTTCTTATGGTGTTGCCATCCCCTTCAGCTCCTTCAACCCTTCTCCTAACTCTTCTACAAGGGTTCTCGGGTTCTCTAACTCAGTCCAATCATTGGCTGTAAGTGTCTGCATCTGTTTCAGTCAGCTGCTGGCAGAGTCTGCAAACACAACATGGCATTAGTAATAGTGTGAGCATTCGGCACCCACCCATGGGATAAATCCCATTTTGGGGGGTCACTGGACAGCCTTTCTTTGAATCTCTGCTCCATTTGTGTCACTCTTTTCTTTTAGTCAGGAACAAATCTAGATCAAAATTTTTGAAGGTAAGTTGGTGACCTCATGCATCCACTGAGGGTCCTGTCTATCTACTGGAGGTGATCTCTTCGGGACCATGTCCCCACTGTTGGGCATTTCAGCTAAGGTCATTCCCATTGAGTCCTGGGAGCCTCTGGAACTTTCTAGAGATTCCCCATGGCCCCTACCCCCACAGCTTCATGTTTCCATTCATTCTCCTGACCCTCTGGGTCTCTCTTGTCTCCCCTCCCCCATACCTGATCCCACACCCATTTCCTTCCCACCTTACCTCTCCCACACAGGTCCCACCCTCCCTCCACCTCCTATGATTGTTTTGTTCCCCCTTCTAAATGGGATTCAAACATCATCACTTGGGACTTCCTTCTTGCTAAACTTCTTATGATCTGTGGATCCTGGATATTCTGCACTTTTTGGCTAGTATGCACTTATTGGTGAATACCTACCCTGAATGTCCTTTGGGGTCTGGGTTATCTCACTCAGGATGATGTTTTCTAGTTCTATCCATTTGCCTGCAAAAATTATGATGTCCTTATTTTTACTAGGTGAA